CTAGGGCCATATCTCAATAACCCATATGGTAACATGTCTAGAACCTACCCTCTGCTACTGATTCTTCTGTCTATCTATCATGGTGTCGTTCCTCCTATCTTCTTCCTTCTTCTCTTCGCTCCTCTCTAAACCTACTCACAGTTCTCGTCTCCGTCTCGCTCTCTCTCGTACATCGCGTCTAACATCTCCTCTTCTTCTCGTCTCTCGATCTATCATGCTACTTTACGTCTCGCTCTCTCTCTCTCTCTCGCTTCTCCTCTACTTCTCTCTCTCCTCTCTCTCTCTCTCTCTCTCTCTCTCCTCTCTCTCTCTCTCTCTCTCTCTCTCTCTCTCTCTCTCTCTCTGTCTCTCTCTCCCTCTCTCTCTCTCTGTCTCTCTCTCATCTCTCCTTATTTCTCTCTCTCTCTCAATTCAATTTTCAATTTCAATTTAAGGGCTTTATTGGCATGGGAAACGTATGTTAACATTGCCAAAGCAAGTGAAGTAGATAGTAAACAAAAGTGAAATAAACAATAAATATTAACAGTAAACATTACACTCAGAAGTTCCAAAAGAATAAAGACATTTCAAATGTCATATTATGTATATATACAGTGTTGTAACAATGTGCAAATAGTTAAAGTACAAATGGGAAAATAAATTAACATAAATATGGGTTGTATTTACAATGGTGTTTGTTCTTCACTGGTTGCCCTTTTCTTGTGGCAACAGGTCACAAATCTTGCTGCTGTGATGGCACACTGTGGTTTTTCACCCTGTAGATAAGGGAGTATATCACTGACAAAGAAATGATCAGTCTATAATTTTAATGGTAGGTTTATTTGAACAGTGAGAGACAGAATAACAACAAAAAAATCCAGAAAAACGCATGTAAAAAATGTTATAAATTTATTTGCATTTTAATGAGGGAAAAAAGTATTTGATCCCCTCTCAATCAGAAAGATTTCTGGCTCCCAGGTGTCTTTTATACAGGTCACGAGCTGAGATTAGGGGCACACTCTTAAAGGGAGTGCTCCTAATCTCAGTTTGTTACCTGTATAAAAGACACCTGTCCACAGAAGCAATCAATCAATCAGATTCCAAACTCTCCACCATGGCCAAGACGAAAGAGCTCTCCAAGGATGTCAGGGACAAGATTGTAGACCTACACAAGGCTGGAATGGGCTGCAAGACCATCGCCAAGCAGCTTGGTGAGAAGGTGACAACAGTTGGTGCGAATATTCGCAAATGGAAGAAACACAAAAGAACTGTCAATTTCCCTCGGCCTGGGGCTCCATGCAAGATCTCACCTCGTGGAGTTGCAATGATCATGAGAACGGTGAGGAATCAGCCCAGAAATACACGGGAAGATCTTGTCAATGATCTCAAGGCAGCTGGGACCATAGTCACCAAGAAAACAATTGGTAACACACTACGCCGTGAATGACTGAAATCCTGCAGCGCCTGCAAGGTCCCCCTGCTCAAGAAAGCACATATACAGGCCCATCTGAAGTTTGCCAATGAACATCTGAATGATTCAGAGGAGAACTGGGTGAAAGTGTTGTGGTCAGATGAGACCAAAATCGAGCTCTTTGGCATCAACTCAAATCGCCGTGTTTGGAGGAGGAGGAATGCAACCTATGACCCCAAGAACACCATCCCCACCGTCAAACATGGAGGTGGAAACATTATGCTTTGGGGGTGTTTTTCTGCTAAGGGGACAGGACAACTTCACCGCATCAAAGGGAGGATGGGCGGGGCCATGTACCGTCAAATCTTGGGTGAGAACCTCCTGCCCTCAGCCAGGGCATTGAAAATGGGTCGTGGATGGGTATTCCAGCATGACAATGACCCAAAACACACGGCCAAGGCAACAAAGGAGTGGCTCAAGAAGAAGCACATTAAGGTCCTGGAGTGGCCTAGCCAGTCTCCAGACCATAATCCCACAGAAAATCTGTGGAGGGAGCTGAAGGTTCGAGTTGCCAAACGTCAGGCTCGAAACCTTAATGACTTGGAGAAGATCTGCAAAGAGGAGTGGGACAAAATCCCTCCTGAGATATGTGCAAACCTGGTGGCCAACTACAAGAAACGTCTGACCTCTGTGATTGCCAACAAGGGTTTTGCCACCAAGTAGTTAAGTCATGTTTTGCAGAGGGGTCAAATACTTATTTCCCTCATTAAAATGCAAATCAATTTATAACATTTTTGACATGATTTTTCTGGATTTTCTTGTTGTTATTCTGTCTCTCACTGTTCAAATAAACCTACCATTAAAAGTATAGACTGATCATGTCTTTGTCAGTGGGCAAACGTACAAAATCAGCAGGGGATCAAATACTTTTTTCCCTCACTGTACATTTTGCACTAGTGAATTTGAGCATCTCATTTAGGATGCCATCAGGTCCGCATGCTTTTTTAAATTTGAGGGCCTGAAGTTTCTTATTGAGCTCCTGGTCAGTAATTGGGGAGTCCAATGGATTTTAATAGTCTTTTATAGCTTTTTCTAATCCATTCAATTTCTCTTGAATTTGGCATTGTTCTGCGTTTGTGTCAATTTGAACGGTGTTGTAGAGTGTTTTAAAATGGGTTGTCCATATGACACCATTTTGTATCGCTAATTCCTCTTGTTTCGATTGTGTGTTTATGGACTCCTCAATTAGTGTCAGCTGCTTGCTGTTGTACTATGCTTTTTTAGTTCTGAGTGTACGTTTATAGAGTTTTAAAGTCTCACAGTAATTAAGGCGTAATTCACAGTTATTTGGGTCTCTGGTTTGATAGTGTTCTAAGTTTTTTCCTTATAATTTTACAATCTGCATCAAACCAGTTGTCATCTGTCGTCTTTTTTGTTTTGTTTGTTATCAATTTCAGTTGTGCTTATTTTTTGCCTGAATATATAGTTGATGTTTTTTACTGCTAGATTGATGCCTTCTTTACTGTGGTGAATGTGGAATCAAGAAAGTTATCTAAGAGTGTTTGGATATTTTGGTTACTGGTTGCTTTCTGGTATTCTTCTGCACTGTTTTGGGCCCACATGTATGAATTTCTGATTTTGTACAGCTTACTGGGCTGTGAATGTGTAGTTGTTTCCATGTCTGGTCTTTTGAGGAACAAGGCAATTTGGCTGTGATCAGACAGAGGTGTTAGTGGCTTGACGGTGAATGAGCTGAGAGAGAAAGGGTCAATGTCTGTAAGCATATAGTCTACTGTGCTGTGGCCAAGAGGTGAGCAATAGGTGAATCTCCCCAAAGAGTCCCCCCGTAACCTACCATTGACAAAGTACAAACCCAGTCTTCGACAGAGCTGCAACTGATCCCTTCCGTTTTTGTTGATGGTGCTGTCACTGTTGTTTCTATGGGGGAGATTAAGACTGTTAAACAGTATGGCCTGTGATAAAGCTGTCCCCTCGTGTGGTCGTTAGATCAGGTAGTGTTCCTGTGCTCGCATTTGTGTCCGCACAGAAGAGCACATTTCCCTGGGCCTGGAAATGGCACGTCTCTTCCTCAAGGCTGGGGAATATCTCCTCTGAGTAATATGGGGATTCTGAGGGGGGGATATATATTGCTCAAAGGTACACATATTTTTCTGTCAGTAAAAGCTATTTTTTCAGTTTTAACCAAATGTGATATTTACTAATTTTGAGGGGATCAATTAGATTTTGTAGTTCGGATTTGTACCAAATGATCAATCCTCCAGAGTCTCTGCCTCTATTGACAGAGCTGTGTTTCTGTGACGGCACCATTACCTCTCTGTAGCCTGTGGGACATTGAGTGACAATGTCTGCCTTACACCATGTCTCCTGCAAAATGATGACTTCAATATATTTAAGATTATTTTTGAACTCCAGTGCTAAACTCTTCAGTCCAAAGGTTGATGAGTTTAGGCCCTGAATGTTCCACATGGTCACTGATAGCGATTTCAAGTTGTTAAGAGTGAGATAGATTTGTTCTGTTATATATATATATATTCCTATTCATTGAACAAGTCAACTTTTAGTACAATAGGTGTGTGTGTGCGTGTGCGCGTGTGCGTATGTGTGCACGTTTAGTTCAGTTTAGTGCAGATGTTCTCCTGTCCTCTGAGGACCTCCGCGTAGCTCCGCTGGTCCTGCTGATGGGCCCTGTGGGGTGGAGGGAGGCCAGGTCTGGGCCGGGGGGCTTCCTCTCTGGTCTGGTAGAGGTGGTGGTCTGGTGCAGGGTAGTAGGCTGGGTCCGGTCCAGTCTGGCTAAGCTGATGGAAGTGGTGATACTCTGGTGGTGGGTGGGGCTTGTGGGGTGTGCTGGGTCTGGTGGGGCGTTGAGGGGGCCTGGGGCTCCTTGGTGGTGCAGTGGTCTGGTAGGGGTCTCAGGATGGTCCTCTGTCCAGTGCGGCATGGGGTGTTTGTCTACCAAGTGCCACGTCCTTTAGAGACTTGGCAAACATCCCTACTGTCTTCCTCAGGTGGGAGTGGTCGTGCAGATGCTTTGGGGTGATTGTTGGGTGGTGAGCAACGTGCAGAGAGCTTCTCTCTGTAGTAGGTGTCCCCATGTGAGCCTCCTTGTTGACTGGGGGTGTGGGTAAAGGGTGGTCGGTATGGGAGGGGGGTCAGTGGGGGTGTTAGGGGTGGTGAGGGGCTGCAGCTTCTCTCTTGGTGACAGACAACTCCTATGCCATCTCCTCCTTTACCTGCACTAGCTCTCTCCTCATGGTGACCTTTACTTCCTCAAGCTCTGTGGTGAGGCTTTCTCCTCATGGTGACCTTTACCTCCTCAAGCGCTGTGGTGAGGCCCTCTCCTCATGGTGACCTTTACCTCCTCAAGCGCTGTGGTGAGGCTCTCTCCTCATGGTGACCTTTACCTCCTCAAGCACTGTGGTGAGGCTTTCTCCTCATGGTGACCTTTACCTCCTCAAGTGCTGTGGTGAGGCTTTCTCCTCATGGTGACCTTTACCTCCTCAAGCGCTGTGGTGAGGCTTTCTCCTCATGGTGACCTTTACCTCCTCAAGCACTGTGGTGAGGCTTTCTCCTCATGGTGACCTTTACCTCCTCAAGCACTGTGGTGAGGCTTTCTCCTCATGGTGACCTTTACCTCTTCAAGCTCTGTGGTGAGGCTCTCTCTCAGCTCCTGGACAGAGTTTTTCAGCTGGGTCCTGCACTGGTTGATCTGGTCCTGTAGAAGCTCTGTGTCTGGGCTGGAGGTGGTGTAGCTTGGGGGCTGCTCCTTTAGCTCAGTATACCATACCTCTAACAGAGCCAGCATGTCTCTCAGCAGGCTGATGGTAGTGTGGTCTTGGCTCTGGTGGTCGTAGGCAAGCAGGGGGGAGGACAGACCTGTTGTGTGGATCTGGGCCTGGGCTCCTGCTGTGCCTGAGGTGAGGGGAGAGGTCGGGGTGCTGTCCTTGTCCTTTTTGGTTTCTGCTATCTACCTTAGGGTGAGGAAGTCCTGCACAAAAGAGCTGAGTGCAGCCTCACTACCCAGGACCATGACAGTGCCGTTCTGGTACATGTTTACCGTCAGAAACCTGTTTTCCTGGTCCTTTTCTCTGTCCTCAAAAATGGATTTCCCTTGCAGATGCCTTTCTTTGTCATATAGCTGAAATGCCTGGTTACAGCTGTATGCCAGGCAGTAGTGTGGTCTGTGTAAAATAACAGGTTTGTTTATAATGGATTCTTCCCTTCTCTGATTTGATTTCTGCTGGAAATTCAAAAAAGGGGGGGGAAAGTCTCTCAGTCTCTGCTGCTGCTGGCACTGCTAGCGCTGCCTCAGTGGCCATGTTGCTATGGTTACCACCAGTAAACAGTTGGAGCTAGACGTGAGCTAGCTAACAAATTCGAATTTGGCTAGCTAGCACGATTAAGATTGGTCTTTTAACTCACACTCTGTCGATCTTTTCCTCCTGTGTTGATCTTCAGTTGTACAGTTTGATTTCCTATATATTTTTTGCTAATTTTATTTTGTTAATCTCACTCTTAACAACCAGAAAGTTATAAGAAGTCAGGAGCTGTTCGTCTGCATGACTGCCTCTCTCTCTCTCCCTCTCCTATGCATCTCTCTCTTCCTCGAGAGCTCCCGGAGCATCAGCAGAGAGAGACTCTCCAGGCCTTAGCGAGTCCCTCTCTCGACTCTCCCCTCATCTCTCTCTCCCTCTGGGTGCCTCAGTCTCTCGGTTTTGCCCTCTCTTCGTTGCTCATCTCTCTCTCTCGCCTCTCTACTCGTCATCTCTTCTCTCTCTCTCTCTCTCGCTATCGATTTCTCTCGTCTCTCTTTCTCTCTCCTTCCCTCTCTACAGCCCTCGCTCTCTTTCTCTCTTATCTCTGGCTTTTCTCTCTCTTCTCTCATCCCTCTCTCTGTGCTCTCTCTTTTCTGCTTTCTTTTTCTCTCGTCCTCCCTCTCTCTGTGCTCTCGCGCTCTCTCTCAGCGCTCTGTGTCTCTATTTCTCGCGCCGCGCGTTCTCTCTCCTTATCTCTCTCTGTACCGTCTCAATAGTTAAATAAGAGCAAGTAGTATATCTAGTAGACTTTTATCAGATTTAGTCGTTTAAAAGCACAGAGCTGGAGTAGATTTGTCCCCTAATCCATCCCCTGGGCCCGTATTCATGAAGCGTCTCAGAGTAGGAGTGCTGGTCTAGGATCAGTTTTAGATCATAAAGAATAAGATTATGGACAGGTATTACCTGATCCTAGATCAGCGCTCCTACTCTGCTTTATGAATACCTGATTACATGTGTTTTTCTGCTAAGCCCTATGACTCTACAGTATATTAACACTGGGAGTATGAATGCGTGTCCCTACTCCCCACACAGTTGATACAGTACCTCCATTTGGCACACTTTTATTTTCATTAGAATTAGAATCAGACAATCTTTATTATCCAAAGCTTGGGAAATGTGTTTGGCATAAGCTTCACAAGATAATTTTAATGCAGAATATAATGAAACATCATACATGCAATAGAAAAAAGGCATCATACCCACACGTCGTACATATCATTGTATCTATTGAACCATTATTTTACCAGGATGTCGACTAGAGAACACGATTCTCAATTACAGCAATGACCTGGGGAAGAGTTGTGTTATATTATCATAAGTACCATTGCATATTATTAGTAAGGATGGACTATTATGATGGGAATGAGGGACAATTACAATTAAATGGACTGACTGACTGTGCATGTTCAGTTCAATCTTGAGGAGCTGGAATGGAGCACCATATCTGTTTTAACACATTAATCAGTCCACTGCTTCTGTGGGGATGTAATTTGTGTTTTGATTGAATCTTTATTGCCGAGAAGAGAAAATTAAATGCTTACGACCCCTCCCCCCATCACCTCCCTTTAAGCCCTCTACATGGCCTAAAGCGCCCCCCACCCCAAAGAACCTACACCCCCCCATCCCACCCCTCATCTGCCTCCCACCCTGAGCCTTCACCCCATACATGTCTTATGGAGCGGAGAGAAAAAGAGCATGGTTTTAATCGACACCCTTTACGTTATCAGCCAGATAATTATGGCCAACAGCTGTAGCTGGTGCAACATGTAACAATGGGACTCATTAATATTCTCAATGAGCTGTGAACATGGAAGAGAGAAGACAGCAAGATAACCTGACCATGGTGTAGCTAGCAGGCTATAGGCTAAGGGCATAAAGACAACAAACAGGAATACACACACATATAAACACACATACACACACATGAATGTGCACACACACACATACTCAATTCACAAAAGCTAGCATGCATGCACACTGATGCACACGCACCCATGCACGCACATGCACACACACCCACACAAACTGGAGCATGGAAGTTTGGCTGTTCCTGTGAGAAAATGCTGGAAAGACAAGAAAGAAACCTGGTATTGATTACTTTTTGAGTTCTGTTATTTTTGTAATAGAGAGAGGGGTCACAGCTCCTTTAAACCACCTTCTCTCCCATTGCCTTAGAGCTACAGCAGATCCTGCTGTGCCATAAAATATCTGCATCCCATTTTGGTAGTAATTCAATAATTAATGATGAATTAATTAACATCAAGCATCGTTTTGACTCAGGAGTACTTCTGAGTCGTTGTGTGCGAGAGAGAGACAGAAAGAGAGAGAGAGAGGATCTTCAGGATATGAATTAGAAAATGTGTGTAGAGCTTGTTTCTCCCAGCAAAAGCTGTTAATATTTAATGAAGGGGGGATAAATGCTGAAAGAATGCCCCCGCCTCCCAATTCCAGCCTCGCCACAATTAGGAGGCTATTATCTGCTCACAACCTCCAGGCTGGGAACAAACTCAGCCTCAAAAGGTGCAATAAATGGGGTTATGATGAGATGGGACACAGAATTGATGGGTAGAATACACATCATTACAATTTTTATGAAATTACATATTTCGGTAGCAGATCAGAAAACTCCCTGCTTCCCACTATTGGGTTCCAGTCATTTGATTTGACATATTATGTCTGGGTGCCTTGGCAATAAGGACACAACATTGCAGCATATTGGAAGGCTCATTTGCTTTTCATAGGGAGCGTTGTGTCCCAAAAAAGTGCCCCCTGGGAGTAACACGTGTATGGGGACTGTGTGCGTGGCGGCCCCAGCAGCAGGTGGCCCATTGCTGCTTAATGAACACGGCAATCTGTTACTATCGCAGCGGCGCTTTTCACCAGACAATTAGACGACTAAGCGTGTCATTATTCTGGGCCAACAAGAAGAGGCTCTCCTCTAATTTCATCTTTTCATTCCTGTTTACTCACCCACACTCCCCTCATTAATGAGAGATTTTCCAGTCTATGCTAATTGGTTTCAATAACATTCATTTTAGTTGAAAGGGAACGATTCTGTTAATTGAGGAGCGGAGGGGGGAGAAGAGAAAAAAAGGCTTGGTTTCATTTTCAAGTGCGTCCGCGAAACGACGCTTTTGAAAAAGCGCTCAACAGGTTCGCTGCTAATGAAATTAAATGACGCCGGCCGTGGCAAATAGGAAAGCCCAAATTAAAAGCAATTTATTTTCATTGAGGCATGTGGCACTGTTCGGGCACAATTAATGCTTGGTACAGAGACAGGGTAGGAGGGATGGAGTAAGGAAAGGGAAATGCACACTGGTGATTTGGTTGGTGTACCGCGGCAGAGTCACGCTCACATCTCTCTATGTCATAGCAGTGTTGCTGTCAGTCAGATGCGGTCAGTCGGCTGCCTAACCAGACGTTCCTTTGTCGTTTAGTGACGGCAGAACGAGTCCGCAAATGGCCTGTCTCAACCGTGTCAGCTGCGTTCGATGATGCGTGTGAAGTGAGTAGGCTCAGGGTGCTTAACTCATCTTTCCATCCATCGACTGGCTGTGAAGGCATCTGGGGACCCTTGTTGAACACACCCAAGCTGTGTCCCAAATGGCACACTATTCATTATATAGTGCACTACTCCAGAACAGGGCCCGTAGGGCTCTGGTCAAAAGAAGTGCACTGTTTTGGGAATAGAGTGCCATTTGGAACACACTTCTTCCTGCAGTAGAAAACTCTGGTGGACAATCATGATTTAACCTATATGTCACGTCAACATCCCCCAATGTCACTTGAGAAGAGAGAGGGTTAACACAATGATGTGACTCATCTACAGTCCTTTCCTCATAGTAACCTGCCCATCAGCTGAGTTAGGCTATATTTACTTTCCTGTGTTCTTTTAACCAATGATAGGCCACTGCGCCACCCTTATGGAAAGTCTGACTCAAACGCACTCTCTGAAGACCATTGATTGTGCAGCTAGCAGAAGATCAGTTGAGTGAATTTACATAGCATTTGCATTATGTCAGGACATGAGCTACAAATAGGTATGGCATGTGTCGTAATTGAAACCAACCACACTTTTCAGAAACACACGCTTGCATCATAATTGAGTCAGTGAGTGCTTGCATAAAGCAGTGGAGGAAAGATTCCTGTTTTTGGATGTGTTCAGAGATGTTTGGTAATTAAGTGTTACGCAATCTCTATAAGCCAATCTCAGTCTCCAAAATAGCTAGCATCACTCGTCCTATGCGCCCAGGAGTATTTTATCTGACCAAGAAAAACTCTGTAGAAACAATGAGAATAGAAAGGTTCAGAACTTTTGTAAAACATCACAGTACAGTTGAAAAACATATGGCAAATATAAATCCAATATGGATGGTGTTAAGAGATAGATGGGAGGTGTTGAATGGAGCTGAAGGATGGGACTAATAACAACAACTAATAACAACAAGATAACTAATGTAAAGCATACTGTGTCCATAATAAGTATATAGGTTATAGGTTGAGAGCTTTTGTAAAAGAGCATAGTTAGAAAGATATGGCATATAGAAGTAAACCGGATGGACATCATGAAAATGATCGGAGAGGTTGAGGGTAGAGGAAGTTCAGGAGTAAAAACAAACAAAATATAATTATTGTAAAATTGACTGTGTCCATACAATGTATATAGTATGTATAAGCTGGAAGTAGAGGCCTAAGCATTGTTGTTCACTTCCAATTAGGGAAGAGGTGGTGGGGTTGGAAAGTAATAAAGGGAAATATATTTTTTAAAAGGATATGTATATGTACATATACAGCTGAAATGTAATGTAAATGTAAGTCGGAAGTTTACATACACCTTAGCCAAATACATTTAAACTCAGTTTTTCACAATTCCTGACATTTAATCCTAGTAAAGATTCTCTGTTTTAGGTCAGTTAGGATCACCACTTTATTTTAAGAATGTGAAATGTCTGAATAAAAGAGATAATTATTTATTTCAGCTTTTATTTCTTTCATCACATTTCCAGTGGGTCAGAAGTTTACATACACTCAATTAGTATTTGGTAGCATTGCCTTTAAATTGTTTAACTTGGGTCAAACGTTTCGGGTAGCCTTCCACAAGCTTCCCACAATAAGTTGGGTGAATTTTGGCCCATTCCTCTTGACAGAGCTGGTGTAACTGAGTCAGGTTTGTAGGCCTCCTTGCTCGCACACGCTTTTTCAGTTCTGCCCACATATTTTCTATAGGATTGAGGTCAGGGCTTTGTGATGGCCATTCAATACATTACATTACATTTACTTCATTTAGCAGACGCTCTTATCCAGAGCGACTTACATGAGCAATTAGGGTTAAGTGCCTTGCTCAAGGGCACATCGGCAGATTTTTCACCTAGTCGGCTCGGGGATTAGAACCAGCGACCTTTCAATTACTGGCACAATGCTCTTAACCACTAAGCTACCTGCAATACTTGACTTTGTTGTCCTTAAGCCATTTTGCCACAACTTTGGAAGTATGCTTGGGGTCATTGTCCATTTGGAAGACCCATTTGCAACCAAGCTTTAACTTCCTGACTGATGTCTTGAGATGTTGCTTCAATATATCCACATCATTTTCCTTCCTCATGATGCCATCTATTTTGTGAAGTGCACCAGTCCCTCCTGCAGCAAAGCACCCCCACAGCATGATGCTGCCACCCCCGTGCTTCACGGTTGGGATGGTGTTCTTCAGCTTGCAAGCCACCCCCTTTTTCCTCCAAACATAACGATGGTCATTATGGCCAAACAGTTCTATTTTTGTTCATCAGACCAGAGGACATTTCTCCAAAAAGTACGATCTTTGTCCCCAAGTACAGTTGCAAACTGTAGTCTGGCTTTTCAGGTTATGTGGCCTTTCAGGTTATGTCGATATAGGACTCGTTTTACTGTGGATATAGATACCTTTGTACCTGTTTCCTCCAGCATCTTCACAAGGTCCTTTGCTGTTGTTCTGGGAATGATTAGCACTTTCCGCACCAAAGTACGTTCATCTCTAGGAGACACAACGCGTCACCTTCCTGAGCGGTATGATGGCT